CTTTGATGGCACTGATGAGTATGTCATACTAAAGGCAAAGGAAAATACGCCAAATCAAAGGCAGATTCCACAAGAAGTAGAACATGAATTTGCAGACACTGCAGAGAACACCAACAACCAAATCTGTGCCCACCATTGGGAAGGAGAAGAAGATAAAGATATAAAGCAAATCAAGTGAGAAAAGTCTATCTGGTGGCAGAACAAGACCATACTTTGGATCAAACCAGGCAGAGATATACTTGTTTTGGAGGAGGCATTTACCTCTTGCTGTTTTTTTCACTGTGAAGAAAAAGCATTGCTCAAAAACTCTGACACGAAAGAGGAGACTGAGTATATACCTATTCTCTCCAGATATCATATCCGCAATGTATTTAATGGCCAGTGATATGCCTACATTTAGTAGATACATATTTTTAGCAGTAAAGATTAAACTCTCATTATCAGCCATCTAAGTGGTTGGTAGAAAAGAATGTGAAGCAATGCAGAAAACTGAGCTGGACTCATATACACGTTTAACATTGCTGTGGAACAACACTGATAAAGGCTGCTTGTCACCTCTTTTGCTCAGCGAAAAGTGGAAAGCAAAATCAGTGTTGGAACTGGTGTCAGAGTTACTAGGGACACACACAGACAAATAGAGACAGGCAGAACAAAACCAATTAATGTGAGCATGAGCACTGACCACACCAAATATTGGCAGTATTTCCCTCTGGTTGGAAATAAACAGATATGAAAGGCAATAATATTAGCAGTACATTAGCGGAGGCTCCCCCTCCCCAGCAGACACAAGGAATATCTGTCTCCCCTCAAGATGTTATTTCACCTCAAATATCTCGGACAGGTTAAAGCAAATTTAGATAGCTGAGCCCCACAACATGATGATAGGCTCAAATTTGGTAGGTATGAATTCGAGCAGTGAAGTATAAGTTCAGATGCCCATATCCAGAACTAATCCACTTATCTCTACCTGACCACAGTGATGCTGCTACTCGGCGGGACTCAATAAATTACAGGCACTTCAGGGATTATTTGAGCATCGCCATACATATTTGAAGTACAGTTTTATGATATGTTCAGGCTGATGAGCTGTTCTTATTTCTGACTGTACCTTTCCAAAGTCCTCTCTTTGATCAAACCGAGCCTGTTTACTATAGTACACAGAAATTCATATTGCACTGACACACTTGGTTATAATCTGGGCATAGAAAGAAACCAGTCTTTGCTGGGCTCCCAAACCCAAACCACTTGCTCAGGAAAAGTGAGGGAGCTACCCCGGACTTTGCTCCCCATCTTAACACAGTCCTTTTGAGCTGTGAGGGACTGCTGCACCCTCAGCCCACAGTAGCCCTGTGCCTGAGGCTGTGCCTGCCCCTGCCAACACAGCTGGTACTGCTGCAGCTGCATCTCGTTCTGATAGGGAGGAGGAGAAGAGATAGCGAGAAATAATCTCAGTGATTATATGAGACAGAGAATACATTCCCTTAAATAACCTCCTCCGCCTGCTGAAGTTATCAGAGCATGCCTTTCTAATGCTGGCTAATGCCAGGTTAAGTTCAGTAGTTCACAGCTGTGTATTTTGTTAGAGATTTGTACCTAATTGAACAGCAAGCTGGGGGACTGCAGCTACATGTAATATCTGCTAGGAAAACACATCCATCTCAAATGGCATTTTTCAAAGAGACACGTACAATCTTGTTAAAAGTCTGAGCCCTAATGGCCATTTGCTCCACCATCCACCAGCAGCAGGTATGGCAGAAAGGGAACAGCTGCTTAGTTGCTTCTGTGATCTGTTTTGTCTAGATGTTTGCATGTTTGGGAGAGTGGTTTGGCCCTTTGCTGTTCTCAGATGAATCACTCTGCTAATGGACTAGCAAGTGCATGGATAACATTATCAGTGATGCAGACCATGGTTCCTATATTGCCTTAATACGCCTCTAAACCAATCTGGTAAATTACTTCCATTATAGGATTTAGATAGTATCCCATTACAGATCAAGCTTTTGGTTAAATGTCATTTCTTTGAAAGACGTATTTGGTGTCAAGGTCCACTTGATAGTTTCAGAAGAGAATGAACAGAGTCCAATATTTCCTTTATTACGACTCCAAGGAGCACTGCAGGGGTGGTGCTGGGAAAGCTGGGAGAATGGGTAAGAAGAGCTCCTATCATCAACAGAGGAGGACCAGCAGATCACTTTGCTCTAAGCTCTATACCCTGCGTACAGTAAGCATGCACGTCTCCTGGTCACACACTGAAAATTCTTCTAAGCTGTACTGGGTAGCTCTAAAGCTAAAGGGACTATATACTGTTAAATTATTATACTAGGAAAATACATCCCGTATATGAGCTGCTGTTACAGAAACTGCCTTTTCTGTCCATTTCCAGTGGTTTAGTCTTGGCACTTCAGTGAAACTACAGAGCCCATCCCAGCTGTCAAAGTGCAGCCAGTCTCTGATGCATATATTACTACATAGTTCTGTTTTTTGCTCTGAAAGCAGATCTAAATAAAATAATTTTCCACTTGCATTTGAAAAAAAAAACACCCTAGAAAGAACAAGTCATGAAAATGATTCTATTTGTTTCAGAAAATATAAATGTTCCTTCTCTTTCTCTTTTCTTAAACAAAATGAAAACATTTGTGTCCAGTCTGTGCTTCATTCCAGCATTTCTATTAAATATTTTTACTCTGTACTTAATAAAAAGAGACATTTCATTTTAGCAAAGTCCTGGCTTATTAAAATTAAAGTGATGTGGAATATTAGTGGGACTTGCCAGTATTAAATAACTTTATATGATAATTTATTCCATATTTAGTGCTCAGTGCTTGCAGTGTTTAATGCAGCTAAAGCATATGGTGCTGTTTTATTCAAATGTTAAACTGTGTGATCATTAAAAATATATGGAAATGTAAACATTGTGTCAGAGTTCAGTGTCTCAGAAAGAGCTGTTAATCCTGGCAAACAGTTTCATTATAACAAGAAGCTCAATCAATTAATGATTTTGTTTCTTTATGTATTTACTTGTCACGATGTATCCATTTAGGGTAATTAATTTTTTTATATTTCAATTTTCTATATATTTACATTTCTACATTCTTGTAAAGGAACGTTTCACTTTTATTTTGATTTGATAAGAAACAAAGACAGGCAAAATCTGTTTAACTGCTAAGCTGGGAGCTCAGATCAATCTCCATTTCACTTGAGGATTGAAAGCAAGAAGCTTCTGGCTCTACAGCAGCTTTGTCAGTCTTGGCAATTTGCATTATGTTACCCATGATAGTATGCACAAGGATCCATTGCCACAAATGCAATTTAAGAAAATACTTTCAGTTCTTTTTCTCCTTCTCAGTATTTTCAGGCAACTGGAATGACTTCATTGCTGTAGAAAGATTGCTTTTTGCCTGTATTTAACTGAATAATAATTTTTTTAAAAATCCTGAGGGGTAATAAATAAGTTGAGTTTCTAAGATAAACTTTTCAGGCCTTTTCACGCAAAGGCAGAAAGTAAGAGGGATTCTGATGGATGGTGATGGACACACTGCTTTGGATACAGACTTTGCCAAGCAGAGAGAGCCAGGGTGGATGTTCTCAGAGCACTCTGCACAGTGCCCTGTGTCATTATTGCTCATTATTGCCTGCACCACTGCTAGGCACAGACTGGCCACTGAGCCTCTGCAAGCTTAGTGATGGTTTTAGAATAATGTCATAATTTTTCAGTTATGGTTTTGCAGACAGCTGTAGGCATTTGGGGCTGGTTGCTGTACCAGTGTACAGGGCTGGGTATTTTTTACTATTAGGCAAAGAGGTCTCCATCTCTCCCGAGCTCAGGGTTTCACCCCCAGAGCCTGACGATTCAGAACATGACGGACACAAGTCCTACATGATGCTCAGTATGTCTGACTCCTCACTTTTAACATTCCACGCCCTTCTACTACTTCATTTTGATGTCTCACACTTTAATGCTTGTAGGTATCTCCCTCTAAAGCTGACTTCCATTTTCTTACTACCTGCTTGTCCACACAGCTCCTGCAACTCAGCCTGACTGCTGGCAACAAAGGCAGAATGCTCCAAATACCACTGCTCCTCAGACAGAGTGACTGCGGAAAATGGACGAGCCTTATCCATTGTCTTTGGGCAGAAGGACACCACTGGTGGTACAGTGAGGGTTTTTCTCCAAGACACAGGGTGAACCATGTACCAATTTGCAACTTAGCCAGTGCTTGCAAAGCTGGCTGGCATTTCAATGTAACCATAGAAGCTCTCCACCCACAGACAAGAGCCATATTCCTGAAAAGAAAAGCCCATGCACAGATGGTGAAATTTGAATGGCTTTTTCAATGAGGAACAGAGATTCATTTTTGATACAAACAGAAAACTTGATATTGAGGTGGCTGAGTGAAAGCCTAAAACTGAACATGAGGTACAAACAACTTACAACAGTATTAATTTCCCTTTGTGGGAGAGGTGCAGATATCCAACTAACCTTCTAGCTTTAAAGTCTCTGACACTTGGGATGTGATGCCCTGTTTTGTTGTCAGTTATTTCTCCTCAACCCTATGCAAATTCAGCATGAAAATGTCTTTCTTATAGCGATTTAATATCCCCCATCCATTACCCCTGCCTCCATGATTGATGTTTATTGCATATCTGTTTAGTAGTGCTGGCAGCTGGGAGATCTGGTATCTATGGCCGATGTTCCTATCTTTGTTGAGTTACTTCATCTCTTCTTCACTCAATCACAGTCATCATCTTCAATTGAGCAGCTCGTAGTGACACTTACTACACCTGTTACACCCCATACAACAAAGCTTGAATTATTTTCAGGGGACACTGCAATATGTGAATTAATAGTTACCATGTCTAACCTAAAGAATGTGGCAAATACAGTCACAAGAGTTGAATGTCACAGACCAGGTTTTTTTTTTTTTCCACCCAGTCAGCAGTGTAGATAAGCAAAACATTTGCTGCCTATACTGAAAAAAATGTGCCTCACCCACCTTGCTGGAGAAACGGAGGTGATTCATTTTCCATGGCACTGCATTCTCATGGGTCTGATCCAAGGTCTGGAACTGATGACTGGGGGTTTTCCTAAGGTTCTCCAAGCTCAGTGATTGCTGAAGCTGTTGGAAAACAAGTAACAAAGTTGACTTGGAGAAAGTCACAAATTCTGTGTTATTCCACAAATGTATACTAGGTAAGTACATCAGACCATAATTTTCTTTCTTGATACCTTCACAAGGTATCTAGCGGTGCTCCTGAGAAAAATCAGGATGCTGACTGAATACAGGTAAAGGAGCTAATTAAGAAACATGAAAGCCTCCTATGAAGTTTATTTTGTGTAGAATTAAACTTCAGCCAGAACTCTATTACAAGGTTGATAATGGTGAAATAGAATTTCAGCCATTAGCATGAAAATTCCTAAGAACTACAGGAAATCTTACAAGTTTTAGAGATGTTATGGATAGTGGCATCCTAACATTTGAAACAGAAATCAAACACTGGGAATTCACGCATCTCTTGGCATCACTGTATTTATTTGAGATGAGCTGCAGGGAAAAAGTAGTAGTAGAAAGACTCCAGGTCTTCTAAATCCTCGTGTCTTTTGGCTGCTGATCCTTTTCTATCCCTGATCACGTGTAACAAAGTGATCAGATGCACAGACTTCACAACTGATCTTAATATCACAAAGACCATCTATTATTTGGGTTGAGCTCCAACCAGGTGCTGACAGCTGGCGATTCATAACTCCCTACCAAAAGGAAGTCTCTGCGATGAGCTGTGATGGCGAGGAAATGCTCTCACTTCCCCCAGGCATTTAGCAGTCCTGAAGAAAATGTACTCTGTAGTCCTTCATTTGCCTTACAGTCCTCAGTCCTTCCAATACAGTTTTCAGAGGCCTTGGTATGCAGAAGGTGAATATACATCACTGAAAGGAACCTAATTTCACAGTCACTTTCTTGCCTTCATAATGCTAAATTCTGAGGCAATTTTGGCCTGTTGTAATACTGTAGCAAGCATAACTTAATTATTTGGCCAATTATAGTATCAGGGGATGTAACAACCATTACGTGAATGGGTGTTGAATCAGCACATTTTCCACTCCACAGTAACCAACAGGAAAGAGAGAGGAAGATGTATTAACTGAGAAAAATCTAATAAACATAATGCTACCTACAGATATGTGCTATTTAATCCCATGAAAGGATTTTATGCTTCTGTTCACATAGTAATACCAGATACCATCTTACTGAAGAAAATGATGACATCAATATATGAGTCCAACATCGGGAAAACATTTCCTTTTAAAGTCTGTATACAAACATCTTCCTTGGTGATTCTCAAATGCTGGGGGAAATAATATCTGGGTGCTGACACACTTAAGGCTAGATCCAAGACAAAAATGCTGCCACTGACTTCAGTCTGAGCTGCCCAGACAATTTTGGAAGCTTCCACAGGACACAGCACATCATCTGTCTTTGTAGAGCTCCATCAGCAGGGCTTAGAGCTGGAGTGGGATGTTAGCAGCCACTGCCACACAGAGAATGAGGATCTCGTTTCATGAGTTTAATTAAAATGTATCTGCCACACTTGTTATGCTGCTGTGGACAAGTCCAAGAGTTGATAACATGCCAAAAAAAAAAATCAGATGTTTCAATCCAGAAAAGCAAGAATAATGAATTAGAAACTGTGCTGGAAAACAAGAGGAGTGTAAAACAACAGACATGGATTAATTTTCCTCCATACCCCTCATTTTTTTTTTCTGTGTAGGGCAGGCAAGGAGACAGTTAAGTTTGTAGAAAATAAGCCAATTTTAAAATAAACAATAAATAAATTTATCAGAATCACTGAGGCTTCAGCTCAAGTGGCGAACGTTTGTACTGAATCTGAAGTTACACGGTGCTCCACAAGTGTGAAAAGCCCTTACATTATTATTAGTTGTTTCAGCTACATGCGATATTGATTATGTTAATAACCAGGACAACATTTTGAAGAGGAATTGTTAGAATTTCTTACAGTGATTAGTACATTGATTGTGATTGGCTATGCAATTACAGAGTTATTAAGGCAGCATTTGATTGTTTAACATGGCATTTCATAAGTCAATGACAATTTAAGACATCATTTGGCCTAAGTTTGAATATTCACACTTGTAAAGTAAACATTTTCTAAATCTAAAATTGTATTATTAAAGTTCATTTACAAAATAGAATCCTCCATAGAAAATGTCTTCATGGCTGTTATTCATACTAAAGGCCACAACACACATTCAAGTCTAAACGCTCTTGAAAACAATAGATACATTTATTTTAACCTCCTCTAACATGTGAATACATATTTAAACTGAATTTATTATTACTGCTCCTTCATTACAGGAAAAGATACCCTAAGAGTCACGTATTATGTAGACCTTATCCAGAGCCTACTGAATGAAATGGAAAGGGTCATTTTCTTCAGGGACTTAATACAAATCCTAAATTGGACATTTTGAAAAGTTGTATTTCACAGCATCTTAGGTTAGATTTTCATTTCAACTTCAGTGATTCTAAGTAAGAGCTGACTAGAGTGTTAATCAGATTTTTACTGCAGCTGGAAGTATCTCCCTGTACAAGATAACAATAGACATATCAGGCCATAAATTCTGATCTTTTTGTGAACTATACCTGGAATACACATTTGTTTTTCTCATGAAAAAATGGCTGACACAAGTAAGATTTCAAGATATATCAAAATCAAGAATTTATTTATATTTAGCACTGATAAACCAGTGGAGCCCTGTTTTTAGTGTTTATAAAAGCCGTGAAAAATAAAGATCAGCTGTCACATTGCGAACACCACCTATTTCACATACCTGCAGTTAGCTCTGTGGGGGCAGGTAAAACCACATTTTTGTGGGTTTTACACATCGCCACATCAGGCCTCCCAAGAAGTACAAGGAATCATGATAAATCAATCTCATCTAACTATATTTTCCAAAAGAATAACTGGACGGCACTGTGGCACATTGTGTCTCCTCATTAAAAAACTAAAAAATAGCTATGCTGAATGTGTCTCACACATTTTCGGAATGTACTGTTACATTCTACTTCCAGTTGCTCATTCCTCTTGGCCTCATTTAGTATAAAGACAACTGCTTTCATAGCCCAGATTCACACCTCAGAGTTTTAACAACTGGTGTACGGGCCCCAACAGACAAATCTGAGAGAATAGGAAAATTTCTCTTCTCAACCTGATTACATCTCCTTCCTTGAACAGCACAGGGTCTCAGGAAGCACATGGTTATCAAACCCAACACTGCTTAGACACTGCAATCTGTGCCAGGAGCCCTCTAGAAAGTCATGTACAATATTCATGACCGATGGTGATAAAACTAAACAGTATTTTTAACTCCACAAGTCCAGTAACTCAGACTGCAGACACCCACACACATTCCTCTGATCTTCTGGAAATGCCTCTGGTGGCCACTTGTCCACAGAAAATGAGAGCACCGCTCCAACTCAATGCTCTTGAACAAATGTAAGGTCTGCTCTGCATATAGGGAAAAGAGATTGCTCCAGCTCTCCACCAAGGCTAACCAAAGGAGCAAGGACATCAGCTGCAAGTAGTACAAGCACTAAGGACTGTGAGTGAGGGAAAGGTGGCCAGCATCAGGCCCTGGATTGTGCCCAGAGAAGGACAATGAAGCTGGTAAGGGGTCTGTAGCACGAGTCTTATGGGGAGTGGCTGAGGGAGCTGGGCTTGTTCTGTCTGGATGAGGCTCAGGGGGGACCTCATCACTCTCTACAACTACCTGAAAGGAGCTTGTGGTGAGGTGTGTGTGGTTGGCCTCTTCTCCCATGTAACTAGTGATAGGACAAGAGGGAATGGCCTCAAGTAGCTCCAGGGGATCTGCTCCATAATTCATAATTCTCCCAGGCACAGTGGTGAAGCTTACCAGCCTGTAGTTCCCCAGGTCTTCCTTTTTCCCTTTCTTAAAAATGGGGAGTGATGTTGCCCTTTTTCCAGACACAAAGGACTTTGCCTGACAGTCACAATTTTTCAAATATTTTGGAGAGCAACTTGGCAACTCCATCAGCCAGTTCCTTCAGGACCTTGGGATGCATGTTGTTCAGCCTCACATTTAGGTTTACAAAGCAGGCACCAGGGATATTAAGTAGCAAAGGAAACAAATATGGGACTATTTTCCCCCTGACTCATGATGTCCTCAGGTCTCCTCTGGTCTCAATAAAACCACAGAAAAGCATGCCCTGCAGGAATGCCAGGGAGCACACTGGGGAACACTATGACCACTTTACCAACCAGCCAGGAGATGGCACAAAGTAAGAGAGCACATCAGCTCAAGCAGCAAAATTTGTGTTTCCTGAACGCGTGGCAGAGTCAACTGTTGCACGCTGATAAAATGTGCAGCAGTGAGCTTTCTAGAGTAAACATAACCTCACTCACACTGAAGTAATCAGTCTCACAGCCATCCTCTGCTGGAGGGAGAAGCCATCACTGCCAAGTGGGAAAACATGACAAAAGTCAGACAAAATATGTGAGGATTTACTAATAAAGTGATTGAGGAATTAGATAAATCATAAGCATGGTAATCCATTTGTTCAGTATGGCTGAAGCCCTGCTAATTGTTTGGTACTGTATCTCACAAAAATGTATACACTCATATCAAGAATTTCCCTCCCAGACCTCTTTTGGCTAAACAGAGTTTTTCAAAAGCATTTTCCGCTGCTGCACTAAGCTCTGCTTCCATCAAAACTGCTGGAACACTGATGTGAGCAAAGCTGGGCCAGAATGCCACCCACAAAGTTTTATTTACTCAATGCAGGGTGCTGACGCTGATACCTCTGCAGCTACATGAAATCACAACTCCTGTGGCGTGTCCCTGGAGCAGCAAACTCAGGATTTCCCAGCAATGCAGAGCCTCATACAGGAGTCTGTTCCAACATGGCACAAATCTCTTTGTATGGATGACTTCTCATCAAATCCTACAGATAAATGTTTAGCTAAGAGTATCAATATTATACTAAAGCATTGGGGAAACAAAGTAATCAGAGAAATCAAGCACTAGGGGGAAAAAAAAAAGAAAAAAAGAAGAACAACAGCAACAAAAGAACAATAAAGCCTG